ACACAGTACTTGAATCTTACGCCTCATATGGGTTCCAGCACGCCGTCCTCTCCGCCGTTTGTGAAGACCATTTGCACGGATCCTGTTATGCACAGTCAATGGTAGTTTTATTTCAGAGCAGTCATGGCGAATACTCAAAAGAGCTTGTGATGAATACTGGAGATTCCTCTCCATTATTGCAGTTGTGAGCAAAGAAGTATCAGAACTACACAAACGATAGTGAGGTGAATTGTTTCCAGCACTAAATGCTTGATGAGATCCGGTAAAAGCATTTACATGTACATGTAGTTCTGTGTGTGCAGGTAGGCCGACGTAAGTAATGGCTGCCAAACAATGTAACGTTACATGTACATAGACATGTACATGTACATATGCAGATTGCACTATCACCAGCAGGGAGACAGCAAAAAGCAGTATTTTGCCGTATTCAGACGAAATAGCATATTTCTCGGCATGCATCATCGATGTATGGTACTTACAGAATCATAGTTCAACGTCAGTGATTAATAACACGGAGTCTGAGGGCAAGAATTCGGCAAAAAAGTCAGAAAATCTCGGAGTATTTAACGTGTGCAGGCAGCAGCTTGAACAGCGCCCTCAATCATGGGTGGATGTGGAAACCAAGACTTCAGTCTGGGTGTGGATTGAAGTATGTTGAAGTTGTGGAGAAGAATGTTGGAAATATTGGGGAGATTGGGGTTGTATGGCAGACATAGAGGTATGCGGGTACTGGCATCCTTTGTGTGGCGGGGATTTAGAGCGTTGGAAAGGTTGACTGTGCGTGCTCTGGCGAATGCTTGATTAATTAGAGTGGAGGGGTAGTTGCGTTTCCGAAGTTGGAGACGAAGAGTTTCCAAACGCTGTTTGAAATCCTCATCATTAGAGCAATTGCGTCAGAGTCGTTGGGCTAGGCTGAAAGGGAGACTCTTTTTGGTGTGGTGGGGGTGGCACGAATTGAATAACAAATACTGGTGGGTGTCTGTAGGCTTGGTGTGGAAAATCCAGTGTGAGTTGGAAAGCTCGTGTGTGAATTTGATGGTTAGGTGGGCGGAGTTACAGTATTCAAGGAACTCATCGAAGGTGGAGCGACTCCCTGACCAAAGCAAGAAAATGTTGTTGATGTATCTCCACCAACAAATGGGTTTGTGTGGAGAATAAGTGAGGAGTTTGGCCTTAAGCTGACCCATGAACTAATTGGCATAATTGGGGGCCATGGCAGTGCCCATGGCCATACCTTGAGTCTGAAGATAATGATTGTTATTGAACTCAAAATTGTTTAATGTGAGTATGACTTTGATGAAGTTCTTGAGTGTTTCTGTGGAGGGTTCTTTAGATGTGCGATCATCGTGTGGTATGTTGGCGTAGAGAGATATGACATCTAGAGAGGCGATGAGTGTGTGAGGTGGGAGGGGCCCAGTTTGATTTATGATGTCTATTTTCCGTAGAAAATCGCTTGTGTCCTGAATGTAAGAGGGCAATTTGCGAACCAGGGGTTTAAGGTGATGGTCAACAAACTTTATATGTTTTCCATGGGGGTGTTGTTGCCAGATATGATAGGGCAACCTGGGTTTCCTTCCTTATGAATTTGAGGGAGCAGATAGAATTGTGCAGTACGGCAGTTGGATGGCGTTGAGAAATCCCTTATCTTTTTTGTTGATGTCTTCCTTATCATAAGCAACTTTAATAGCATCAGAGACTATTTTGATGTGTTTGGGAGTGAGGTTGGATTGGAGGCTTTTTATAGAAGTTGCGGTCGTCAAGTTGTCAATTAGCCTCATTTATATACCAAGTTTTGTCCATTACTACTACAGCCGAACCCTTATCAGCTTGCTTGATTACAATGTCAGTTCTTTGACGGATTTCTCTGAGGGCCTTGTGTTAGTTATTGGGGAGGTTATCATAGGTATTACGGACAGGTTTACTCAAAGTGTCTGGTCTGATGCAGTCAATGAAAACCTCAATGGCGGGGACCCTGTTGGTTGGGGGTGTCCATGTACACTTTTTCCTAAACTTGAGTTCTTGGCATGAGTTAACTGGTTCTGTTGAGTCTTCGTCGTGGAAGAATTCCCTCAGGCGGAGGCGTCTTCCGCATTCATTGATGGAGGCTTGTGTTTCCAGTGGTTTTGGTGGGTGGGGTGTAGGGCAGAATGAGAGCCCACGAGATAGAAGGGCTGTCTCATCCGGTGTCAAGGGCGTGGCTGAGAGATTTATCACTACGGAGGGGTCCTGGGTGTGTTCCTGCTGGCTTGCCCGTTTGCGTTGTTTGTATAGTTTATGGGGGATAAATCTGCAAGATCTTGATGCACGTTTGCCGGTAACTATACACTAATACGCAAACAAATGAAATGCTTAGAAATGGAAACACTCATGTTTAGGCAAAGTCAGTCCTAAAAATATCAAAGTCACAGAGTGGAAAACAACTTAAGAAACTAATTAATAGAAAGAATTACTACAAAATATCTATATCACTGAATTTGTAACCAAATATACCCAAATAATGAAAACAAAACTCACCAAAAGAAAAAGCAGACGAGTTAATCAAGGCATGCATGTAGGGCTGGGGATAGAAACGTTTTGACTGTTCCTCTTCACTGCCTGTCTGCTAAATGACATGCTCCACACACAAGGATGGGGACATTCCTAAGTGTTACATAATCTGAGGGATGAGCACTCTTAAATGTACAGGGGTCAATCTAGGTACCATGTGAAGCACAGGGGAACTTCACCAGGGTGGGTCATACTAGCAAAAACAATAATGCATGGGAAACTACTCCTACAAAAACAACTAAGGGAAATTTGCCCCTATTACACCTGCATAATGTCAGGTTAATTGGCAAGACTGTATGGTGCAGGATTCCATACTTTGGGATAAGTTAATCCTCATCTGTTCTTAGCATGCATGCACATCTTCTACGTCTGTCTCCAACCACCATGATTCCACTGACTGAGATTAATTTCTTCAGCCAGGAGTTATGTAGACCGATCTTCATCCTCGGCAAACAGCAGAATTTTGACATGCTTCGAGTCTTTAGAACAAGTATTTGTCCTACAGAGTCTGATCAGATGTGGTTTTATGTAACTTCATACATAAGGGGTTCATCAGACACTTCTTTGAAGCATTATAGACTGGAATTCTTATTTACCTCGGTTCTCCCTGACCACGAGCTTCTGCTTCAACTTACACTTGTTTGTTGCTTTAGAGAAGGCTATCATTCCTTAGGGAATGAACTACCAGTAGATCAGGATACTTCCAACTGGATTGGTTTGGGTTTACTTCACCTTTTTTCTCAGTCGGTATAAGTCTGACATATGGCGGCCCATTATCAAAGTTTTACATTCAGCATAGGACTTCAGATGGAAATGCTGTCTATATACCTCCCTCCATTCTCTGAAGACAGGTCGGTTCGCTGCTTGCATCCATCATTGGGATGCTAATGTCCTTGTACGGTACCCATACGTGGATCATCAGAAGTTGGAGTTCCGTGTACCTACTGGGTTTCACTGCAGACTTTTTGGATTTTCACATTTCCTTTGGGTCTTTGTTGTGGCAGCATTCCTTTTTACAGCAAAACAGATCCATTTGCTCTTGTACTTAGATGATAGGCTATAACAGACCTTATCTGCAGTATAGCCTTTAAAGTCTGCCTAACTCGCATTTGATGATGTTTTTCAACTTCAGTATCGAGCTCCTTCCCGACAACTGACCTACCTTGAAACATTTTCCAAATTGGTGTCAGGCATTTCTGGGGAATTTGCAGTATTTTTTTGTTTGGCCTACATGTAAGTAGGGATATGACAATAAGCCAGTTCGGTATGAATCAAATTAGGTTTTGCCCTTCACCGACGTTTAAACACTGTGTACTCGGTGTGTATTACCTCCCGAGTGAAAGTTGGGAAAAATCACTCGGGTGGGACTCGAACCCACGACCTCCTGCTTTCTAGTGCAGATGTCTTACCACTCGACCACTGAGCTAACGGGATCGGTTGGCTGGTTCGAATCTGTGATTTTTCCCGAGTGATTTTTTCCCAACTTTCACTCGGGAGGTAACACACTGAGTATACAGTATTTAAACGTCGGTGAAGGGCAAAAACCTAAATTGATTTATATCACCCCGACGCAAAATTTCATCTTATAACAGTTCGGTATGTTTAACTGTGCATTGCGCACAATGTTAGGAGTCTAGTCAAAAGGGAATGAATGTGTGGGGAGACGGGCACACAATACTCGCGTTTTAATTACAAGCAGAATGGGTGTTTGTGTAACAGCGCGAAAAAAAAACATCAGCGATTTTATTCCGAATGACATTTGACCATGAAACTTCATTGAGATACCAAACTGGCTTATTAGCTTGACAAAGTAGGACATTTATTTCCTTGTCACCATGACTACAGAAAAGCCATCCTTGTTTTTAAGATGGGATACAATGGTATCCTTGGCTCAAAATTTCTTACACTAATATATTCTACTGGTATGTCATGTCCGTTGAGAAGAGGAACTTTGAATGGGAACATTTAGTTCAGTACCAATCTTATTACAAATGTTACTTTCTTTCAAATCATTGCATCTATTTGGCATTCAGTTGAATACAGATCTTGCTTTCATTTTAAGTATTTGTTGACAAGCCTAATATTTGTTTTAATTATTTACATTACTTGTTGATTAATTTAGTATTTATATGCTTTGTTCCTCCTTTATTTCATACTCTTTATAAAAAAATATTTATGCTGTTTATTGAGTTTCTCATTTAAAGGGAAGATACAAGTCAGTTCAACAATATTTGCTGTAACATACAAATCCTCCATATCCATTTATTTCTCAAAAACTGCATCAAAAGCACATGTTGTACATTTCCTTTAATGTTATTTATTCATGGAACCATTTTGTGTCTTGTATTTTCAGCAATGTGGAAATAAATGTACTGGTATGAATAATTGTTTGAGAAATACATCATTTTATTACATGTATTAGTAAACATTTACATTGTACTGTACTGATATTTCAATGTGATGTTCTTCCAGCTATCTTCATTTAGTGGAAGACACCGTTCTCCAACCACTTGGAGTTCCAAAAGCTGTGTAAGTGCTGGCTTCCGATATCATGGTGGCAACATGATTGCAACAGACACAGATGCTTCAGAGTTGCTGCTACGACACTATGTGTTTGAGGCATTGATTGGTATGTGCAAGAAACAAATTCAGATGATTTATACAGAAATGTTAAGAGATGTTTTTAGTACTAATCAAATCAAATTTTTGTCATTTATCATAACTACACTATAAACATATACGCAATTTTCTATTACGAATCCAAGTGCATGTACAGAGACCATTTCATTTTGACACCCCTATGTATGTACCTTTATTTCTTCTTTTAAGTACAAACTTAGGGTCATTAGTTTGCGTGTCTAGGATACATTACCTGCCTTATTCCAGGGTCTGTTCTAGCTGGATAGTGCAAAGTTGCAGGGATGACACATTCAAAAGTCAATCAGATTGTTGTAAATGAATGTCCTCAACCAATAACATTTCCCAATCTTAGATATTTTGCCCTTCATCAAGGTTTTGCCCTTCATCAAGGTTTTGCCCTTCACAGACATTAATTATAAACGCTGTATACTCATACTGGCTGACAGACTTCACAAGGCTATACCCAGAGGGCCTCCAGCCCATGCAAGACCACATTCTTAACCACTTGATTATTGAGCTTGCTGGGGGTCAGCTTGCTGGTTCCAATCTGCAACGTGGCAATGAACACAGTGCGAATTTCACCCTGAGTGTGTGACATGCATTTTTGTTGTCCAGGCACGTGATCAACCTTGACCAATCAATGCAAGACCACGTTCTTAACCACTTGATTATTGATTATTTAAGTTCATTCAACAGAAGTCTGTCTGATCACTTCCAAGATCTCGGATAACTTTTCTATAGTGCTCACCTGATATGTATATTTATGTGTAAATCTCTAGTTCCGCTTGTGTGTTTGTTTTTCAACAGCATTTCATTTGTATGTTTTTGGGGGTGTTTGTTTGTTGGGTTGTTTTGGTTTGTTTGTTGGGATGTTTGTTGGGGTGTTGGGGTGTATTATCCCTCAGCCGAGAGGCTCGAGGGGTATTGTCATCGCCTAGGGCGTCCGTCCGTCCGTCCGTACGGACGTCCGTCCGGGCAGCTCAGTTTCCGGATGATAACTTGAGTTAGAAATGTTGTTTGGGGTTGTAACTTCGGTAGGGGTTTGCCCTTGGGAGTAGGCAAGTTGGGATTGGTTTTGAGGTCAAAAGGTCAAAGGTTAAGGTCACCGTGGTGAGTTTAAGGTAAATGGTTTCCGGATGATAACTTGAGTTAGAAATGAGATTTTGGTGTCTAACTTTGGTAGAGGGTTGCCCTTGGGAGTAGGCAAGTTGGGATTGGTTTTGGGGTCAAAAGGTCAAAGGTCAAGGTCACCATGGTGAGTTAAAGGTAAATGGTTTTTCGGATGATAACTTGAGTAAGAAATGAAATTTTGGTGTCTGACTTAGGTAGGGGGTTGCCCTTGGGTACAGGCAAGTTTGGATTGGTTTTGGGATCAAAAGGTCAAGGTCACCGTGGTGAGTTCAATGTAAATGGTTTCCGGATGGTAACTTGAGTAAGAAATGAGTTTTTGGTGTCTAACTTCGGTAGGGGGTTGCCCTTGGGAGTAGGCAAGTTGGGATTGGTTTTAGGGTCAAAAGGTCAAAGGTCAAGGTCACCGTGGTGAGTTAAATGTAAATGGTTTTTCGGATGATAACTTGAGTAAGAAATGAAATTTTGGTGTCTGACTTAGGTAGGGGGTTGCCCTTGGGTACAGGCAAGTTGGGATTGGTTTTGGGGTTCAAAGGTCAAGGTCACTGTGGTGAGTTTAATGTCAATGGTTCCAAATGATAACTTGAGTTAGAAATGAAATTTTGGTGTCTAACTTCGGTAGGGGGCTTCCCATTGGTACAGGCATGTTGGGACTGGTTCTGGGGTCAAAGGCCAAAGATCAAGGTCACCATGTTGAGTTAAAGGTTAATGGTTTTCAGATGATAACTTGACTCTGGCTGAGGGGTTTCAACAGCAACGCTGTTATTTATTGCTTTGACATTGTACTTTTGTTCATTTGTTGGCCGAATAAATAATGATAATAATAATGAAATTACAGAGTCTAAGCGCACGATATAACAATTGTATTTATTGCATACTTCCATGACTGTATACACATGGTGGTGACTATGAACATTGCTGGCAACTGAAATAAACATACCATTTTCTGTTCAATGTGACAAAAAGTGGCCTCAGTTTGAGGACCTTGACAGAATCAAGCAAATTCAAATCCATCAGATAAGCAGCAGAGATCATATTCAATATAGTGACATGTTTTCCAATGTTTGATTTCTTGTTAAGCAGCCAAGGATAGGTCGCCCTTATGGGACCAGGTTCAATTTTGGGAGGATTCCTTTCTGGATTCTGTAGCAGCTGAGAGGGATGCAGTTGGCATGGATCAAGGACCTGCTGAAATGATTCACAGGTACATCATATTATCTCACTACACTTTTCCATCACTGTGAAAGTACTGCTGTAGGTATTTATTCATCAACTGAAAATGTAATTTAGTCATTTCAATCCAGTTCAGCTCCTAAGTGGTCATTACAATAAAGGTATCTTTTGTCTAAAGAGTCTGTGGCAAACAAATTTGATATTACTTATTACCTCACCCGAATACTCCAAATGCAGCTATAGAGTGTGATTATTGCAATAGTACACATTCTCGTAATAATACATGTCTGTAATCATCACAACAATGGCAATAACAACAACAACTAGTGACAAATAAATTCAAAGTGTCGTGCTAATGTTGCAGGGTATCAACCTGCTAAAACAAAAAATAACATGCTTATTGCTTGGTCAAAAAGTGACTCCGAGAATCTCTTTGTTTTAACTGTTGATTGATACGGATGGCACACATACAAATTCTAAATGTAGTTGTAACACTTGTACTGCATCTTGGAATACTATCAGTAACACAACTAGCCTATTACTTTCCTAAAAAAATGATTTGTAAAGGATAATTAAATAACCCCTAGTACAGATTGTATAAGAGGTTGCCAATTGGTCTGTTTGTTTCAGATATGACTCCCTTACTCCAAGTGAAAAGAAGAGACTTGAAGAAGATGAAGACAAACTCCTTGCGGGTTAGTAGCAAACAGTTTAATCAATTACATTGAACATTGTCTCCAACAGTTTCTGTGCTCAATTCATACATTTTCATTAGGAATGAATGCAAAGAAGTTCAAGGAAGCCAAACAAACTCAACTGTTGTTTACATTCTTTAATAATGTATCAAGCAGACTGTCTGACATATCAAGCGAATACGCAAACGTGTTTATATACGAAAGAAAACTGAGCTTCATGTAATCATTTGCTTACATGATGCTGGATCAATGCTGGTTCTGGGGCCATTTATTCGCTTGTTATTGAAGCCGGTCTTTATATGACATGTTAATGCACCCCCACGTGATCGAGTCTCGACCAATAAGAAGCTATCGACTATCCAAGGTACATTCTTTAATAATGTATCAAGCAGACTTTCTGACATATCAAGCGAATACACATACATGTTTATAAAAAAAAAGTGAGCTTCAGGTAAAATTTAATAACTAGTGCATTTGGCCAGAATGTTTTATGATGCTCGCTGCCTGGCATTCAAAAAGAAAGGGAAACCGTAACATTCACAAAGAAACACTGACTAAATAATTGACATTTGAATTGATAAATAATATTGAAGCTTTTGCCAGTGCACATGTAGGTATTATTTTACTTATTTTTCTTCTATTTTCATTGATAGATATGTTGTCCAATGCCATAGCGTTCATGATTATGATGAAATTACCCAAGCCAGAAGTAAAACGTAAAGTTCGTCGTTTATTGGGACGGTCTCACATCGGTTTAGTCTATAGCCAAGAGGTGAATGACCTACTGGATCAAATCAACAATCTGGTAAGAAGAACCACTTCTTTTCTTATAAGAATGTATTGTAATTTCCAAAAGAACACTTGATGTTTGACAAATGTCCAGTATTGTTGACATTTTCTCTGCCCTTACCATTTACGAGTTTCACCCCCCCAAAACAATTTTTGGGGGGCAGGACAAAGATTATTCACTTTTGAATGAGAACTTCTACTGAGCTGTACTTACCCGTAAAGTATTAGTGAGTATTGCTACATATGCATTATTCCCTAGAGGGCACTAGCCATTCACACAGGCTGCAAGTTACTCAAGCCGTACCCAAGTACGCGCTCAATTACACGCCTACATGCTCAAGAAAAGAGGAAGTATTGTGGGCGGGCCGCATTGGCCAGTGCCCTCTGGGGAATACATGTAATGCATATGTAGCAATACTCTATGGGTAAGTATTTGCTATTAGAATCGGCCCACACCTTTTTTTGGGGGGGGAAGGAATTTACTGTACAAATTAAAAATGAATTGAATGGGATTAACCTGAATTTTACAAATAAAAAAAGTGGTCTGTCCTCCAGTCCTTTTTTTGTGTTTCTCCTTGCGACCCTGCATGCTTATGTGCCCCCTACATATTTGTTCCTTGTTCCTCTGTCATTTGCCTCTGAAGAAGGTCTTGCTATTTAACATGTTTAAAGGCTGAAATATCAGGTCATTTTAATTGTTTGCATTGTGCCAAGTGTTGATTATTTGCATCCTGACAATAAGTCTTTAATAAGTCTATATCTTTTGGGCATTATTTGAGCAAAGCAATCCAAAATATAAGTGTCTTTTCAGAGGATTGAAAACATCCAGGATGGGGAGAGTAGACAAATTGAAAAGTTGTTAAAAGAAAAAAAAGATGAGTTGAGCAACTTGCATGAAATACGTGACAGAGGATGGTGTCTGTGAAAGGTGAGATTGTGAGTATTTGTGTATTAGAATTAACGTCGTCAAGTTTGCTCCAGACATCGTCAATGTAGCCATTGTTATTGAACTAAATGTCTAGGCATATCTAACTCAGTAACATATTGCTCTGATTCATGCTCCCATGTTATTTAGCATGGCAATGACATTGATCTGAAGCCATCAGGCAGTAAACGTATGCGGAAACATTCATTTGTGGTTCATGCTGGGACTGACACTAAAGGAGATGTGCTTTTCATGGAGGTAACATATTCTTAATATATTCACATAGTAAATGAAAATAGAAAATGTCCCCCCTTGTCATTCATTGATTGAGGTCTGGAAACCTAGTTTTACTGGTCTTGTACTCAGTTTCTCTAGGGCTCTGAACCTCAAAAGTCTCAGTCTTTGTCTCGGGCCTCATCAATGCCTCTCAATCACGACTCGAGGCTAGACAAGACCAGAAATAAAACTAAACGTGTGTTTGTAGGTGACAAAACGGGGCTATTTCGGCATATTTCATGCATGTTTAGTTTATAGGCTGATAGGATAAACATGTGCAGTGGACAGTTGCAGAATGATTAGATGTGTAGTTCTAAAGATATATCACACTGATGAAATGCAACATCAATGCTGCATCAGTGACACAAGGCATAAAAATAAGGGGGACATTGACAATTGAACATTTGGAAACAAATTGTACACTATAACTCTGCAGATAATTCTTTGAAAATTCACTTTTATTGTGATGTCACATGGTATGTGATGACATCATGACGTCTCATGATATCCCGTTCTAGGTACATTCCAAGTTACAACCAAATTAAACAAATAATTCTTAAACTATAGGCCTACAAACATCTACTTTCATGTCACAACACATGATGCTTGATGACACCATCATGACATCACTATAACACATCCCAGTCTATGAATAGACCAAGTTTCAACCCAATTGGTCCTGTAGTTCTGTAGATATGGACCTTCAAAATATGCATCTTTAATGTGACGTCACAGGATGACATCCTGAGTGTGCCAACTATGAAGGCACTTGGATTGACATAAGAGCCCAAAGTACTAGGAACGTAGAAAACATGTACACATGCTATGGAAAGGTGTCTTTAAAAAGAAAAAAAAGAAAGGTAATGAAGGTAATGATCCAATCCCCCCCCCCCCAAAAAAAATGTAAACAAACACAACACTTTTTGGGGGGCTAGTTTAAGAAACAAAGTATGTTAAAAACATATCCATATTGTCCATTCTGTCTCATCAAACACACTTATCACAACAGCCTTCAGATGTACAAACACAAATGAACGTGATAAGCTGAATCCTTTTTCAAAGTTTTATCAAATATTGAGTCACTGATCAGAATGATCTGACAATGTGAATTGCCGTCCGAACTCTTGGCTTTTCAATGATTCATCATTTGAAATTATCCCTAGTCCTCCTTAGTACATGTACATTAGTAATAATGGAACTACAACATAAGTTATACATGTAGCAACATATATATTTTTTATTTCCATTTTAAAAATGTTGTATTACATGGGCCATTAATTTTTCAATCATTTAACAGTAGGAATCTATTGCCATGTTAAATTTGTATCATTTAAATATTTTTGGCTGTTTCGGCAACTTGATGAAACAGCCTTTGTTTTCGTTAAGAATGTTTTTGTCTTTTTTGTGTTTGTCGTTTTTCAGCCATTTCCCTTAGCATTTGTACACCTTTTCATCATGCATGGCACTTTGGGGCCAAAAATTAATCCGATTGCTTTTTACTCGGCGCACACTTAGACCAGCAGATGTGTGCTGAACATTGACGTAATCATGACATCATCACGTGTCACGTGACATCACAATAAAAAAGGTGCATACTTTGAAGGTTCATATCTCCAGAACTGCAGGTCCGATTGTTTTGAAACGTGGTATGTACCTAGACCGGGATGTGTTATGGACGAAAATTGAAAAGACGTAATGATGACGTCATCAAGGGTCACGTGACGTCACATTCAAGATTAATAGATTTAATCTTTGAAAATCAATATAAAATCAACTATGAGAGAGACCTGAACTGGACATTTGCGGAAATTGGTAGAATAATCCAGGATCTTTATTTTATCTCGGTGCGCAAAATCACGTGACCCTTCCTTCCAGTCCAAACCGGAATTGCCTTACAATTTGAAATTGGAAAAAAAATGTGAACTTGCTTTCAATGGTGTTAGTCTCTGGCTAGGTTGTACTTAAAAAAAAAATTACCGTTGACATCACAAAATGTTCTAACGCCCTATAGCGGCAGGTTGAACAATTTTTAAAATTAATAATCAATTTATGCGTGTGGCAAAATTTGCTGAAATCACTTATTTTGCTGAAATTCACATGTGAAAAAATTGTGCACTTTTGCATAAAAGCGTGAAACTTGGCACAGATGTTTATATTCATGCGAGAAAATGTTTTAAATGTGGAGCCATCGCAAATTTACCTTTTTAGGGGCGTGGCATCCATTTAAAAAAGGGGGGGCGGGACTTGTCGTGCCCGCAGTTAAAACGGTTGTTTCCACTTGTCACAAAAGTAGGAAACTTCACAAAGACATATTGATATAGATTATAAGTGTTTTCCAGATTCGGAGCCACCACAAAAGTACCTTTTTGGGGCGTGGCAGCTATTAAAAGAAAAGGGGGGGGAATTTATTATCCCCACCTTGGAAAACATTGTACCCATATTTCATGAACGAATTAAACGTCCCACAGACGTTTATATTCATGAGATAAAAAATTCCAGATGTGGAGCCATCTCGAACACACCCTTTTAGGGTCGTGGCAACCATATAAGAAAAACAGGAGGCGGGGTTTTCATTATGCCCACCCTGGAAATATTGTTCCCACACTCATAGGGAAATGTAACTTTCCACAGACGTTGACATTCATGAGAAAAACAATGCCAGATGTGGAGCCATCGTAAACACACCCTTTTAGGGGCGTGGCAGCCATATTGACAAAAAGGGGGGGGCGGGGTTCTCATTATGCCCAACATGGGAAAAATGGGCCTGCGTCGCATAAACGAATGAAGCTAATTCCCACAGGCATTTATATTGACGAGAAAAAAAATCACACGTGAAGCCATCGTAAACACACCCTGTTAGGGGCGTGGCAGCCATAGTAAAATCGGGGGGCGGGGGGTAGTCATGATGCCCCTATAAAAGAAAGTTGTGCCTATACCTTTCATAAATGGATGAAACTCCACACGGACAATATATTCATGAAGATCTTTTTTTTTTTAATGTGAAGCCATCACAAACCTACCCATTTAGAGGCATGGCGTCCATTTTTAAAATGGGGGGGGGGGGTACTCAATATGCACACCGTGGAAGATTTTGACCGCGTTTCATTTAATAAATCCACCTCAGATAGCTCTTCTAATGTGTTGGAGTAGGGCTGCCTTTATAGTTGGAAGTTACTGTTGGCAAACCCTTTGTTTTCTTACACTATGCATTCTTGCCTCATCTATATTAACCCAGTTACTGGTTCTGTTGTCTGTAGAATTATTGTTAACCTCTGAACTGCAGCAATTTCTGAATTGGGGTGTAAACTGGGGTACGTCAGTTAGTTTTGGAAAGACTAGTGTTACTTCTTCAAATGCATTGTTTCCCCTGCCTTTTTTCTGACAGACCAAAAGGCATATTCAGTGTCACACCTGTATAAAGTAGCCTATAAAATGTTGTCAGGGCAACTGATTTTTTAATGGATTTGGTTGGGGTTAAAAAAAAAACACCACTCATCAGAGCTTGATATACCATTTTTAAGAGAACAGAGGGGTTGTATGATGGGGGCGCACAGATTCATTGAATGTAAAGTCATTGTGGACGTGACCACCACGGTGATGAGAGTACATCCTGTTATGACCCAACCTGCTGTCAATGCGGCGCAACGGGTAGGGGGATTTTGCACTCCCCCCCCCCCCCCCCCCCCCCCCACCAGGAGAAAAAGAGGAAAGATAACGGGGAAAAAATGGAATGAAAGTCAATATTTTACTTCACATACGTCATTTATGGCGGATAATGGCGCGGTATAAATTTCCATTATTATTATTTAATGTATATAAAGACTATTTAAATGGCCATAAAATGTGATTATTTAAGCGCCCCAAGCGTCATATGACCTGTGGGCATTGTGGGCACAGTGAGTAGGCCCCGCACACCTCTAAAAGGATGAGTTTGCTGTGGCTCCACATACAAATTTATTTTCTTTCAACAAGTTTGTGTGAAGTTTACTCATTTATGAAAGTTCGATGGTGGGCAAATGATAAGTAGCAACCCCCATTTTTAAAAAAAATAGATGCCATGCATCTAAAAGTGTAAGTTTGTGACGGCTTCACATTAAAAAAAAGAAAGATTTTCATGAATATATTGTCCGTGTGGAGTTTAATCCATTTATGAAATGTAGGCACAACTTTCTTTTATAGGGGCATCATGACTACCTTCCGCCCCCTGATTTTACTATGGCTGCCACGCCCCTAAATGGGTGTGTTTACGATGGCTTCATGTGTGATTTTTTTTCTCGTCAATATATAAATGCCTGTGGGAATTAGCTTCATTCGTTTATGCGACGCAGGCCCATTTTTCCCATGTTGGGCATAATGAGAACCTCGCCCCCCCCCCCCCTTTTTGTCAATATGGCTGCCACGCCCCTAAAAGGGTGTGTTCACGATGGCTCCACATCTGGAATTATTTTTCTCATGAATGTCAATGTCTGTGGAAAGTTCCATTTCCCTATGAATATGGTAACAATATTTCCAGGGTGGGCATAATGAAAACCCCGCCTCCTGTTTTCTTATATGGTTGCCATGCCCCTAAAAGGGTGCGTTTGAGATGGCTCCACATCTGGAATTTTTTATCTCATGAATATAAACGTCTGTGGGACGCTTAATTCGTTCATGAAATATGGGCACAACGTTTTCCAAAGTGGGCATATAATTACCCCCCCCCTTTCTTTTAATAGCTGCCACGCCCCCAAAAAGGTACTTTTGTGGTGGCTCCGAATCTGGAAAACACTTAAAAAATCTATAAAATTATGTCTTTGTGAAGTTTCCTACTTTTGTGACAAGTGGAAACAACCGTTTTAACTGCGGGCACGATAAGTCCCGCCCCCCTTTTTTCAAATGGATGCCACGCCCCTAAAAGGGTAAATTTACGATGGCTCCACATCTAAAACATTTTCTCGCATGAATATAAACATCTGTGCCAAGTTTCACGCTTTTATGCAAAA